GGCCTCAACCGTGCTTGCCAATCTTATTGGCCGAACGTAACGAGCACGGGGAACTTGACAAGGCCAGCTTTAGGCTTTAAACTGTTGTTTCTTTAAAGAACGAACTTGTTCAAACACTTGGGGCGCACAGAACTCTCTCTTTTGCAACTGACCTGCTGCCACATAGCACCAGCCGCACGCTGTTTGCCAGCGGCTTGGTGCCAACTGGCTATTTGACACTGAAGCAGCATGGAACTTCAAAGTGGCAAGATTCGTCACCACCGGCGGCTTCAGGTAGGCAGTAGCAAGGCCTTCACCGAATCCTCATCGAAGTGCGCCATAGCCTTTTGCGCCCTCTGCTCCTCAGAGAGCTTTGCCATCAGAACCTCCAGCGAGCTCACCTTGGTCGCCAGACCGGCAATGCGATCTTGCAAGCTCAGCTGCTCGGCGATTTGGTTGCGCACCACCACCGAGGATTCCCTGGCGTCTTCAATGTAGGACTTGACAGCGGAGCTGGAGTGCCTCCGTGAGGAACATGATGAGCTCTTCCGGCACACCTGCTTTCACCCAGTGCTTCACTCCTGACCTTCTGAGGCTGTGGCCTGAGACCAAACTCAAGTTAGCCAGCATCCTCACACAAGGCTGCAAGCATGGCCTCCTTCTGCGCGACCTTCGTCGGGTCACCCTCTTGTCCGACTAGTGATGCGGCCTCGGAGCCGCGCTGGACTCCCAACATCACTTCTTGACGCACGCGATGCAGTATGGGCACACAACTAACTCCCTGGTGTTGCAGCGGCAGCCAAGCGTACGCTTGCATCCACGAGCGTACTGGTCTGTCTTGGAGACAGTCAGATTGATGGTGACCAGGAAGTTCCACTCATCTAGCTCAACCTCGTTGAACATGATGCAACCCAACTCCACCTCACGAAGGCAGAAGCATGTGCCCAGGATCCACACATACTTTCTCAAGGCCGACCACGCTGCACACGAAGTCTCGGGGTGTTCCGGCAGATGCGACCACAACATAGGCTCGATCTCCAGCGCCCTGCAAGGTGGGCCCATGCCCCTTGTAAGGCCCCTTCGGCAGTCGCGCAGCGCCACGTCGAGCGCGTCTGACCAAGCATAGCCCGCCCTCACGTGGCAGTCCTTGGCCTCATAGAGGTAAGTCGGTGCCGATTTGAAGCCTGCAGCCCTTAGAACCGAGCTCACAATGTTGAGCTTGTTGGGGTCGACGGGCAACGGAGCGAGGCCACGGGCGTTCAGGATATCTGTCCAAAGCTTGAACAGCGCACTCTTTGTGCGAGCGGTGCCTGGCGCGTACACCACCTCCTGGAACGTTTCCATGGCAGTCTGCGTGGCTTTGTCCGAGCACGCGATGGCTATGGCATCTGAAGCGCTTCCTCTTCGTCGCTTCTGGCTCGGACCGGCATTGGGAGTAACAGGTGCTCCAGGTCGCCTCCGTTGAGGCTGTGCCGAATTCGCGACGACGACCGGGTCGATCGAGCTCGATGTTTTTTTTTCAGCGGCAACAAAGCTTCTTCAGGTGTGGTCGGGTTGGGATGGCCTCCATCTCCAAGGCTTTCATGCCTCAGCGCTGCTCCCAGCAGCTGTTCCCCACTTCCGCCATTCAGGGTCACGGTCTGGACTCCTCCAGTCGAATTGGCTATGAGAGGTACCTGATTCGGAGGTATGCTCAGGGCCAAAGGTGGGAACCACGTTCCCCTCCCGCGGTCAAAACCACGAGAAAACATCGAGCCCATGACTGTCCAAGCTCGATCTTTGAGCCCATTCGCTCTGATCAACCAGGTTGGAACTTCTCAGATTGATGCTTCGGCGACACGGCGAACGACGCGGCTCCCTAATCGACCCAGGTTACACGCCGTTTAGATTAAAAGGCTCCTCTTAGGTTCGAACGTGCATCAACTCGATCGACACGAGTAAAGTGCATCAACTCGATCAACACGAGTAACAGTGAAAGTGCATCAGCTCAAGCAAAACGACCGAAACGACTAGTTTCCTTAGGCTCCTTTACTCAGGTCTCTTTACTTGCACTCCCTGGCCAACATGAGACGCAGTTTCGCAAGTAAACTCCCTTTTCACTGACGGCTGTCGTCCTCAGTCCGGCTGAGCGTATGGCCATGCTCTGAACATGTGGATGGTGCGTGGAAGCACCTCCACGCGTTTCGCCTGTGTTAAACTGGCGGGCACTTCTCCACGGCTGAGTGAATCAGCTGTGTCATTAAGCACTCCAGCCACGCGTTCGCCACGGGGTGGGATCCATCCATTACATAAAAACTCTAGCAAGAACTCAGCGGTGAGATGAGTGAGGAGGGGAGACTTGGCTTTAAAGGTAAGACATGCGTGGAGCGAGGCACTGTTGTCAGTTCGCAAGAAAATCGCGAAAGGCTGTGGCACCAAAGGCGAGAAAAACTTGAGGCTGAGGAAAATCGTGTACATCTCAAACTCGGTCTGGAAATCCGGAATGCGTTCAGCTCTTAACAGACTCAGATCTGCGTCTGAAATGGCGTCTGCCCAAAACATCAAAGGTTTACCCGCGAAGTAAAGCACAGCACCCATGCCTGTCGGGCAGGCGTCAGTCTCAATTGTAAACCACCGAACCTCCTGCGGCTGCAAACGGTAAGTGCGCCTAGAGTGGGGCCGTTCAGGTTGCAAAGCAAGGCCAGCAGAAACCGAGCGGCGTGTTCCAACTGGCGTCTGAAGACTAGCCCTTTACGCTCACGGGCGCGCTGTCTCTTGGGTCCCTCTTGATGAAGCGCTTGCGTCAACACTGCCCAAAGCATCGCGAGCCATGGCCTCACTTCGGGGATGTTGCTAGAGAGCCAACCCAATACTCCGGTGGCTCTTTGGAGGACCTTTACGGGAACCATGGGCTGATCTAGCAACCCTCGGAGCGCCTCCTTGAGCTTGTCGACCTTGTCTGCAGCGAGCTCAACCTCAAACGTGCGCGGGAGCCCGTGCAGAATGGTGAGCTTGACACCGATCCACTCTAGTTCAAACCCTCTCAGGATTTTGCCCCAGGATAACTTAAATCCCAAGGCCGTCCACAGGAGGCTGCTTCGTAGCATGATCACAGTGCGGTCCATGGGCGTCCGTCCACATGCTACGATGATTGGATCATCTACGCAGCAGGCTATCCTGCATTCCCAATCGTAATGGGTAGCTTGCGCAAGTCTCGTGATGCTATAGCTGCCAACCTGCACCACAAGAGAGGGGCACTAGCGAGCCCGAACGCGCAGACCTTGATGCACACATATCGTCCGCGCATGTCCTTGACAATTAAATAGCCGCTTTCCTCTGGGTGTGCAGGCATTGTGTAAAAGGCGTCTTTAAAATCGATACACAGTAGTTCCAACAAGTATCATCCTCACAGGCCAAGGCTTGAACACTCTTTGCAACATCGCTCACACGAGGCAAGACGACCCTTTCTTTTACGGTCATGAGTCCATTCACGGAACTTCTCCGCATGTCAACTACCAACCGGACTTTCTCCTTGCCGTGTGATTGCTTGATGATGCATGCTATCGGTGTCAGCCGCGCCTCCGGACCAAATTGTTGAACTACCTGCACCATGGGGCCAGGTGGACATGCGTTCAGCCCAACCCTCGTTGATCATTCGATCGACATGCGAATGGCGTCGGACACATCTTGGGTCTGTGGGAAAATGCCAGTGTGAGGGATTGGGTGGATGATACCCAGTGGGAAACCTTCATTCAACCATTGGGGGATCACGGACGCATCTAGATCATGCGACTGCTCTAAAAGTGCTTGCAACACTCCCTTTTCATAGCCGCTGTGCGTGGCTGTTGTTGAAAACTCTGTGGCCAGGGCGTCTCTGACTTTTGCCATGGCTTCTGGTGAAAAAGGTGTCTCCGTAGGGCAGCTTTGAAAGGCACGTAGCGCCTCAGGAGTCAAGGCCGCATCCAGGACTCTTCTCAGCTTGAGTCCTGTGTTGCGAAGGCGCGAATTCCTGGCCACTGAAGCTCTGGGGTTTCTCAATCCTCCGATGGCCCTTTCATTCTCGAACTCCCTCTGCTCCTTCACAGTAGTGAGGAGCTTGGCAGTCTTGTCTTCTCGTTGTTCGGAGGCTTCTGCTTTGACTGGACTCGACGAGGTCGGCCTTTTCAAGTCCGCTCTGATCAGCACATTCTGACGCAACCCCACCTTCTCGAAGGTCTTCCTCTGAAGCAGTCGTTGACCTGGTCCTTCTTGAAGGTGTGTCTTCACGGCGTTGGCCCATGCATGGGAGAGCCCGGATGGATACTCCGCCGCTTTTGAGGTCTTCCAGACCATTCCTTTGGTGACAGGGTCCCAGACCTTGCCGTCCAGCTTGCTGCGCTTGCGTCGCCGCACTTGACCACAAGTGAGGTTGACTGATTGCATCCAGGGGGCATTGGTGAGAATCCTAGGCTAGACTGCTGCAAGGCCCAGGCGCTTCTCCAACTTCTTCATTTTCGCAGTCTCCCATAGGAAGGAGTCCCACGGGTTCTCTATGGAGACGCGGCGCCTCCCTTTGCTGCCTCCATGAGGATGATCTCCACTGCGGCCAGGTGCCTGTTACCTTCCTCTGCCACTGGCTGCCCCCAGCCCTCCGTTGCCACATGCCCATGTTGATCTGATCGTCTGGCCTTGGTGTAGCTCCGGCATGGTATGGCCACATGGACATGGTCTGCGTCCCTGCCCAAATTCCTGGCTTCTTCCAAGCCCTCCGGGGTGAGGACATCCCACCCATCGTAGAGCTCCAGCGGTTTCATGGCTTCCACCTGGCTTCCATTGACCTCCATCATAGCCATGGTGAGGCCCTTGAACCCGGCGTACAGCTCCAAGAACTTCAACTTGGCCTTGGTGGGCTGTTCCGCCTGCTGCTTGGAATCTTGTGCCTGCTCCTGCGGGTGACTTGCAGGCTGTCGTACTGGGTCTCTTGCTGATGGGATGTTCTCCCATTCCCCTGCCAGACTCATGGATGTCTCCACAACAAGGTTAATCGTTGCTTTCCTGAGGTCACTTCTGCGACTTCTTCTTGCCAGCTCCCTTTGGGCTCTTTTTGACATGCGCCGGACACATGTCGTTGACGTGAGAGCCGAGACAGTGCTGGCATCGATGCACCCGTCCCTGAGTGCAGGGTTCTGCACAATCGCCTGCTTTGCCAAAGCAAATCTCGTTGCCGTCGTAGTCCGTGATGTAGTGAGTCCCCCACTTCTTCGGATGTTCGCTCTTCGGCTGGGGCGGACCGAAGACCGAACCGTGTTCGGTCCGTCGGTCGGCAGGAAGAGCGAATTCCACCCATCGGAACGCCATGGGCACAAGACACCGCCCATGATGGGTCCAAAACACCGTGGATTTCTGCGATGCGATGCGGATGGATCCGTCATGGGTCGGTCATGGATCCGTCGTACACGCTGACATCCAACTGCCCGAGGACACTCATTCAGATCATTCAGGACCTTTGTCGACTCTAGTCCAGGAGCTACTAGTAGCGTCCTTGCTCCTAGTAGTCAGTCCAGGAGCTACTAGTAGCTTCTTGTTCCCAGTAGTATGGCCAGGAGCTACTAGTAGCGTCCTTGCTCCTAGTGGGTTTGACTCCTTGGCCGGAGGGCTCTCTTTGCCTTTGGAATCTCTTCTGCGCCTCAGCGAGCGCTGCTCTTGCGTCTTCGGAGACGTTGACGTCCTCTGCACTCCTGTTCGACATGTTTCGTCCTCCTCGAGCAAGAAAGGTGTGGGCGGGCCTGACCACATGGCGGCCCCAGTATTCCATATCTCGAGCCGCGTAGGCAAAGACGCCCACCCATGGCTGGGAGGCATCGAAATCTAGCCCCATCGGAGGCCGCCTTTGAGAGCTGGCGGCGATAGCGCTCGAAGACTTCTCCTCCACAGCGGTCCTCGGCCTGCATGATGAGGCGCCAGGCCTCCGGGAATTCCTCGTTGAGCTTCGCGATGTGGTCGAAGTATTCCTCCATCACCGCTGCTGCGACCACCATCTTCTCCGGCTGACCCCCTGAACCTGGATGTCGGATCATGTACAAGGCGGCCTTGAACACTCTCCAGCACGCCGTCCAAGCCTGGAAGGACGACGGTCCTGGGATCTCTGTGGCTTTGAAGCTTCCGTCCGGCTGGAAGACATAGGATCGAGTGCGCATCTGTCGTTGGACCCGTCTCCCGTATACGGGGTGAAGATCGAGAAGTCTGCGTATGGAGCTTCTCCCCTCTTCACGATCTTGTCCGTGAGAGCTGCAAGTTGTTCTGCTGTGGGCTCGGCCTCGTGAGTTGGCTCTGCACCTGTCACCTCGACGTGGTAGGCATAGGCTCTGTCGAGCTCGGATCTGGTCTTGACCCTCTTGTTTGCCTTGGTCGGGGAGGCTGGAGTGACCTCGGCAGGTGCAGCAGCTGTGTCTGTCAGAGGGTCGACATCGGCCAAGCCCACAGCTTTGCGACACGCCCTCCAGAAGAGCCCCAACATGAGCATTTCGGCGGCAGTGAGCGGTCTCGGATCTGGAGCTCCTGGCACCGGAATTCGTGTGGCGCCCATTGCATGCTTCAGAACACTGGCCGGCAAACTTGCTAGATGCCGAACTTGTTCGATCTCTCCCAAGGTGTGGTTCACACAGTCCCAACCCTCGGCTTTCAGCGAGCTCCACTGGCGAAATTCCGCCAAATGTAGACCAACCATTGATCTCGGCATCGGTGGGCAACAAGTTCATCAACCAGTCCTAGTCCTTCAAAGCTGCGAAAGCAGAAGGGGCCAGCACAGGACCCAAAGAAGGGCTGCCCAGTGTAGATGTCCGATCCGCGACCACAGACCGCGGCAAAGTGAGCAGCCAAGTGAAGAAAGAGCCAACCAAGGCTCCCACACAAAAGGAAGCCAAAAGGAGGCACTCCAGAAAATTCTTTGCTCCACAAATATATAAATGGATGAAACAGCAAGTTATGATATAGATATATACATATATTTCAAACGGATGGCAGGCAGGGTAGGTGTGCATTGAGTCCAAATCATGGTGCAACTCATTCTGTTGGGGTACACTTGCACAGCTCGTCCTCACCAGCACTCAGAATAAAAACACAACCAACAGTCAAACAGGTCAGGCACTGAGACAGTAGATTCCACTGTACTATATGAAATGAAGTATGAACTGGCAAAATGAAAGAACTTGAGTCAAGCTTGCAGGTGAAATGACATGAATATGACGGATGCAACCAATTGACCAAGAGCATCGAGATCCAGGAAGAGCATGACCATGTTCTTGAAGTCCAGATAGCTCTGTGTATGCAAATCTCCTGCAGCAAACAAAGCTTCAGAGACCTCTTTGCTGAGACCGGCGGCCATGGCCCATTTACAGAATTGTTTCTTGTTGAGGTGCCCATTGCCTCCCTCGTCCATGCGCCGGAAAAGCAGCCTGGCACCCAGGAGCTGATTGGACTGTAATCCCGAGCCAAGAAGGCTCAAGAGCATGCGATATGTCCAGCTGAGAGCTGCTCTCTTCTCGAGACGTTTGGCAAAAAAACGGTGTTGTGGCACCCACAAACCCCACCCATTGTTGGCATTTGCTTTCAGCATAGCATCATAGGCACTCTTACAAGGCCAAAAAGCATCCTGGAGCCAAGACGTGCGAAGCACTTCAACCGCCTCCGGCCTGTCTTGAGCATGGCGAGCCATCATTTGAAGCACCACTTCTTGCACTTCAGGCTTGCAGGCGCAGCGTAAGCGCTCCAAATCTCGCCAATCAAGGCCTTTGTCGGACAGGATGCGCTCATGAACCTCTCCACGACTTAGTTGCTGATAGCACATAGACAAAGACGCAGATTTAAGGTTGAAAAAGGGCAACCAACCTCCTGTGAGCAGCTCAAAGGCGGTGACTCCAAGCATGTACGCATCGCTTCTGGTGCAAAGGTTTTCCTTTGCAATGACTTCTGGAGCAATGTATCTCGGATCTCCAGGAGCGGCAACCAGTTCGGATCCCAGGCAAACGGTTGCATGTCCAAAGTCACATACAATGCACAGCGGTGAGCCATCTGGACGTGTTCCACCAATCAACACGTTCTCCGGCTTTAAGTCACCATGCAAAACGAATTGCCGATGGCAATAGGCTACAGCACTCAGAATCTGCTGCATAGCTCCTGTCACGACAGACAAAGGAGGCTACACACACTCTTTTTTGCGTTTGGAACAGTCACTTGCATTCTTTGCCCATTGGGTTCTTTCATCACCAAAACTTTAGGCAACACATCCTATTCTTCAACAAGAGCCATCAACTGCAAAGCCCAAAGGAGTTTGCCATCAATAGGTTCGGCTCTACCTCATGTTAATATTGACGCTGCGCCAAGAACGGACCCAACAAACCACCGGTATTATCATTGACTTTGACATTTCACTCTTTGAAGGTCCGGTATTATCTTGGTCCATCCACCTGCCCACCCCAATAAAACGGACAACATGCCTGGCTCGACCTCTTTGCAACTGTTATTCTAATAGACTCGACAAACACTCGCAGCGTGTCTGAAGCCAAGTGTGCTGAGGTAGTCTTGAGGAATGTCTTGTACGGGGGATTCAATTGTATGATGTCGAGTTTACTGGAGCATCCACGACGCCTGCTGAAAATATCCGAGACCTGCGTATTGGCTCGCAAATTCGAGCACGTCACGTCGTTTTCAAGCACACCCAGGCTTTCAAGAGGTCGCGTCAGTCACAAGTCCTGATGCCTCCTTTTCGTTTGCTTAACAACTAAGGCTCCGTGAACCACGATTAGGATGGCCTCTGTGAAGCTTTGCGCACTCGAAACTTTCATCTATGCACGATTCTTGTGGAGCTTCGTTTGCTCTCTTCATGTTTTGCATGTTTGTGCTTGTCCTGGACTGTGCTCAGGGCAGTGTGTGGTGTGCGAACCCACTTGGCAAGCGAATGCGGAGCGAACGTGGTGCGGCCAAGTTGTGCTCAAGCGCTGGACCAAAAGAGCGATCCAGAATCGCCCTGTGAACCGCGGCAGTGTCGTGCCACGTCATTTTGTTCTTACTGCCTCATACTCAACAACCAGTCCTTGGTGCACTGCTGAAGCTGCAGTGCCTGCTGGGAAGAGGATGAAAAGGTGGACCAGCCAAGAAAAAAGTCGAATTCAAAATCTCAGGAAAAGCATGGTGCAAACGAGCCCAGAGAGAAGGACAAGGAGAAGGAGGCAGCTCTCTATCCCTGTGTCAGAAGACCAGCAACAAAGCTATGAGATTGAAGCTGCCCTGGAATGGTACCCAACCCGTCCGAAGAACTGCAGAGAGAGAGAGAGAGATCCAACAGGCAATCCAACCAGAGCTCAACGATGAAGGGCTTGTCCCAGAACCAGATGGCAACGAGCATATTGCCAGGTAGCTGTTCTCGAACATGAGATCAGGATTGACAAGGATGGAGCGAACCAAACTCCAGCTGCATCAGCGATGCTAAATCTCAGTGCCCAAAAAATGGGCCCAAGCAAAACAAAGGCAAAGTATCCAAGTCAGATTGAGAGATGCTGGATCCAGTTGGTTCATCAATACCAACTACAGTATGCGGCTTTCATTGCTGCATGCAAGAGCTTTCCAGCCTCGTGGCCCATCTCGAGCAAATACTTTTGTGGTGCACTAGCACTCGGTTCAGATGCTCTCTGCTAGTTCAGTGGGAGGAAAGCAAGGCACCTTTGCAAAAGGCTGCAATGAAAACGAGGCTTCGACGTTACGGAACGCCTTTTCCCCTTGAGCCAAAATACGTCAAGAGTCACGTGTCTGCAGTACCTATAGCGGAGTATATATGGGCTGTACATACAAACACTCCTCCTCTTGCAAAGCACTGTACTGCTGCGCAAGCATAAAAGTAAACATGTGAAACTCTCGCTGCTTAGCCACTTTCAGTTGTGGTAGTGGAGCTTGGCCAGGGACCTTACTCCAAAACATCTAACTGTCCTTTGCTTCGCTTGCTGAGGAATGCATATTGCAGGTCCTCCATGGTTTTGCGAAGCTGCACTCCAGGAACCGACTTGGTCAAAACATCGGCTTTGTTCTTGACTCCTGGAACGTGGTGCACCTTCAAGTGGCCCTCGGCGACCCTTTCTTGCAACCATAGGTAGCGAGTCTGGATGTGTCTGGCTTTACCCAAACCCACTCTATTCACAGTTCCTTTGGCTGCATTGGAATCGCCTTCGATGGTGACTCCTAATTCCAAACCAAGGTCTGCGCATAGGCTTTGGAGGCCTAAGCCCACAGATCCTCCCTTCACAAGTGCGTAGTATTCACTCTCACCTGTTGAAAGGGCTACAGTGGATTGGATGTTACTACTGTGTTTTAACACGTGCATGCCGTACATAGCAACCATGCCAGTTGTGCTTTTGCGTGTCACAGCGTCACCACCATGGTCGGCATCAACCTGCACCCTCAACCTTGAAGGTGTCTGTTGCGATCCAAAACATTGCCCAACATCAGGGTATTTCTTCAAGTACCTGATGAGACGCTTCAAGTCAGCAAGTTTGGCTTCTGTTGGTGATACCATACCTCGAGCAAGGTTCTTGACTGCGTGCCCAATATCAAGTCGATCTTGGGACAAGTACGCAGCACGCATCGTTGCTGAACGATACTTCGATGCCTCGCTCTTATCAAGCAGCGGACTGCGGCTTTCCAGCATCTGCTGGTCTGCCGACTTCTTGACATCTGGTGATTCTACGCCATTTGCCTTTTCCAGACCAAATGCCTGGATCAAAAGATCAACATGTCTCCGATCGGCTTCGATCACAATCGATCCTTTGCCATTCTTCTTATCGACTCGGATTAACCGATTCAGAAAATGAGCTTCTGTTCGGTCTCCATCCTCGTCTCCAAGAATTCCGAGACATTTCAGCTCATAGGCATCTTTGAGGACTTGGCTGAGCTTCTCCAAGTGTTGGGCGTCTCCAAGTGCTAGGAAGTCATCTCCATGCACCATCACTCTGACGTCCCAAGCTTCTTGGTAGAAGACTGACGCATTTGACAAGCCTCTGCGGAAACCAGCATTCTGCAGAGTCTCTGTGTAGTGCGTCTGCCAGATATTTGGAGCGTCCTGTGTTCCATACATTGACTTCACGAGAAGTCCACAGGTTTGTCCATCTTTGCTGGCTTCGTCCTCAGGTGGCAGCTCTATGTAGATCTTTCTCTTTGGAGTTCCATAAAAGTGTGCTCGTGAGATGTCCCACAAGCCCAGCTTCAGCGGCTGGTTGTGGCAGGACTTTCTCTTTGTTGCCCACAACGAGCACAGCAGTCTCATCGCCTCCAATGGGGGCGTGCTGCTGAAAAGCAAGTTGGCTGGCAATTGTTCTTCTTTGGTCTTTCTTGCCTTTATCTCACGCACAACTAATCGGCTCCTATAGTTCGGGTTTGTTGGATCTCCGTTGTTGGTGTCCAACCATCTGACTGGAATCGGGGGCTTCCCCGTTTCCTCAAAACATTCGGCTCTCGGCCGGGTCACATAAACACCATGCTTTTCTTTCAAATAATTCATTTCAAGGCGTCTTGCCTCTTTCACTTTCTCGGCTGGCAAAATGCCGCCGTTCACATCATCCATGTAAATCTCTTCGAACTCAGGTTCCATCAGAGGCATCTCTGGAACTGGGCCTGCTGCAAACAAATCAAAGGTGTTCAACTCACCTTTCTCAGCTAGTGTGTCACGCAGGCTCCTCAGCACTGCCTTCACGAGCGGCGGTGGGTATACCGCTGCTTGCCTTGCAATGCCTCCGATCAGATGGATGTGTCGGTGCCATGGTCCTTTGCCCGACTCATTCGAGCAGACTCCTTGCAAGACTCTGGCTAACCCTTCGTCGTTGGTCATCCAACCGGTCTCCTTTCTCACATAGCCAGTGCCTTGGAGTCCTCTTCGGTCGGTGGCCATCATTTGCCACCTGCGCATTGGACCCTTCACTATGAACACTCCATCTTCCTCTGCTAAGGCCGCGACTTTCTCATCCTTCCAACTGGTCGCGGACCAAGGTGCCTCGTGGAGGAATTTTCTCCCTGAGCGATGCTGCTTGACATACAGCTCTACGCTCGTATGAAGATGGTGGACGGCTTCGTCCATTTTCCTCCTCCGGACATCCGGTGCCATGCTTCTCCAGTTGAGGTTCTGGAGCTGCGAGAACATATGGCACGGTGGCGAACCAGTCAAAAGTGCCGGTTCGTCCTTCTCAAGGATATCGTGCGCCTCTTGAACATCTTCAGGCTTATTCAAGTCCCAGTATGTTCCATCGCTTTTCATTTCATTTAAGTCGACCGCAAAACCCGGTCGCAACTTGTAGCGCTCTGCAAGTGCAGTGAACCTCTTGGGCGAGTAGATCTCCATGATATCTACTGCTGACATCTGCATGCTCAAATGAGCGATGTCTCCGACCTCTTGCTCAGAGATCTCAATGCCATTCGCCTCATAGGTTCCTTGAATGATCTTCTTCAGATGCTGCTTTGCGATCTCCTTCTCTTTTACCAAGCTGGCTGCATCTGGCCTCCACCCTGCTGGTGGTGTTTCTGGAACATGTGAAAACTGAGACGTTTTCTTTGGACTCTCTTCCACTCTGGGATCAAGGTCTTCTACGGCGGTCTCTGCGGACCTCTTTGTTCCTTGAACTGGATTCGGCTTGACCTTTGCCCCAGGTGGATCTATCCGAAGTTCTCCTGTTCTCTTCTTGGGCTCTATTGCTACCTTGGCTTTCGCCACTGGCTTCTTCTCTATTTCGGCTGCTTGCCTCTTCATCTCATATCTCTCTTTCGGGTCATCGGGATAGGTTTTCTCACCCTCTGCTGCTGCTGGCGGTGAGCTTCCCGACCCTGCGCTCTTTGCATCTTCCTTCTTCTCTGGTTCCCCAGCCGCGTCTTCGGCTGGGATGTCGGAGTCCTTGTCGGCCACGACTTTCGGCTTCACAGTGTCAAGCTGTTGCCGTTCTTTCCTCTTCTTTGCATGGGCTTCAAGTCTCGCTTGCCCTGCTTCGTCCTTTTCCATTGCTTCGGTGATCCTTGCTCTGCACGCCTCTGTGTGCGGCAAGGTCGTCCTTTTGTCTTCCAAGATGCACTTGCATCCTGGGCAGCCTTCTGTGGCTCCATGCTTGTGCACATCCTCTCTCCTGATGTACACTCGCCTCTGTTGT